TGCAGGTCCAGACTGGTGCCTGAAGAATCTGATTTGGAAAGTTCTTGTGCCCAACAGGCCGAAGAGTCAACCAAAACCACGGGAATGGGGGCAGCGCGATGTGCACGATGTTTGCGGTATGGGTGCGTGGGTGCTGTGTTTTTTTTAATATTTTTTGTCACGGGTGTTTGTCTGTCTATCTATCTATCTGTCTATCTAGCTATCTATCGTCGATCCATCTATCATTGTCTGTCCATCTGTCTATATGTTCAACTTATCTACCTACCTGCCTGCCTGCCTGCCTGTTTGCCTACCTACCTACCTACCTACCTACCTACCCTAGCCTACCCTACCCCACCCGCCCACCCACCCACCCACCTACCTACCTACCTACTTACCCTACCCTGCCAGCTGGCTAGCTAGCTACCTACCTGCCAGCTGGCTAGCTACGTACATACATACATACATACATACATACATACATACATACATCATAGATTTTTTTCTACATTCATACATACAATCACATCCATACCTACATACCTACATACCTACCTCCGTTCCTTGCTACCTACATACATACATACATACATACGGTTTTTGGTACATGATGCTTGCACTCCTGCGTGCCTGTATACCTACATACCTACATGCCTACGTGCATGCTTACATACGTTCACACCTACACACATACTTACATTGCACCAATATATACGTACATCATACCGCCACAGAGGCATGTACCCTTGCCTTATATACACACCTACATGCTCACACTCTCTCTCACTGAATTAGCTTTAGCACCAGATCTGCTCGACATGCCCTTCGTGGCTATCCGCAGGGGCTGACCTGGCGGGAGTTCGGTGCGGTTAGCGGGCACTTGGATTTCGAATTTAAGGCCGCTCATCATCAGCGAGAATCACGGGCCCATACGCGCCCTATTGATCTGTGTGATTAGCGTAGGCTGTCCGTCAAGTGGAAATGCCAGAACATCAAGCACTCAAGATCCGACGTGGTACATCTGGTCAAGCTGTGAAGACAAGCTCCCGAAACGTTCTCGCCCCGCTGCACTCCTGTACACTCCTGTTGGATCTTGCTGAGGTCGAGGAAGGATTTTCTGATGATGGCGAGGCAGCAGTTTGGCCGTGCAAGAACGTAGTCAGGGGTTTGCCTCGACATGACATCGGGCAAGCTTCTTGAAGCCCCCATGTGGTGCCACTTGAAGGAAGCTGACCTAGTCTGAACAATAGTAGAACGTAGGCTGCCGCAAGAAGTAAACGCCATGCATGCACGTGGAGTGGATTGCTGCGCAATTTTGCTCTCTCTCGCGCTCTCTGTCTCTCTGTCTACACGAGTTGGTCGCACTTTGAGACCCCGAGACCCTAGGCCCAATTCCATGAGGTAAGCCGCTGGATGCCCATAACGAATAATGTAGCATACATGTCGTCTGCCCGGGACCCATGCTGTAAACCACAAACAACAGCATTATCATGGCCGTTAATCCGGAAAGTCAAGATTGCAAGTAAGACGATGATGGCACGGCTTCTTGGCTTGCCTGGCATATAGTTGAACTTCTAAACAGTTCGGAGATAGTCACTCGTCAATTCAATACAGCTGCAATCATAATCTAGGAAAGAGTCTTTCAGAAAGAGACAAACGATTCTAGTCGGAGCTCTTGAGTTTCAGTCGTCGGCGGAAGTAATGTATGGCCCCCACGTTAAACACAGAATCTATGTGCTTTTCGAGCTTACTGTTATATGGTGATATGATACATGATCATGTCTTATGCCGTATTTTCATTCATAGACGGTCCTACAATACATGTGTGTGTGTGTACGTGTATGTATGCAGAAATTATGTATGCGAACCACATGCATCTTGCAGATCACAGGCCGATGAAGCACATGAACAGACCCTCACAGCTGGCTGGGGCCTTAAGTTTTAGGCCTAGGCAGTTTTGAAAAGCTGCATTGGATCTGCATATCCAGTGCCGGCCTCAATCACAAGCAGACGCAATATGAAATCAGTTCAGCAGGCTTGGGAGGGGACTGCTGCACCAGGATCGCCTCAAAGTAATCTCGAAACATGGACCGACTTCTGGGGCCTGTCCCGGCAAGTTCGTTCACATGGCAACTGCAGTTTGTTTATCACATCTTCTTTGTCACATTTTTCGGGCATGCCCAGCTAGACCACCTTTGCACCTTTGCTGAGGAAAGGCTGCCAAGAAGCGTAAGAAGCGTGTGCGGTGCCCTCAGCAAGTAGCTCGAGAGGTTTGCAGAAATGCCCGTGAAAACAAGGCCATCGTCGAAATCAAAGATGCGGAGAATCAAGAAGAAGGGCTGACAAAAATTGAAAGAAGACGATTCATATCCTTGCTCCTTCGGATTTTGTGTGTAGAGTTGCAAATTTTGACATTCGTTGAATTATTTAGAGGATTTCGGTTTCGGAATTTGTATGATTCTTCGATATTATGTGGAGCAACTGATGATAGAAATTACCTAAAGTATTCAATATTGTGAAATCCCCTGAGGTGTACCAGTTGCCGTTGTTCAGTGTGTGCAGCCGCCTTCTCGAAAGAAGCCGGCCCAAGCTTGAGAAGGGCTGCCAAGAGGCCGCCCTACACGTGCCATGGTCTGCTCACGATCCACAGAGACATAGCAGAGCAGGTCCTAAGCACGAAAGTAGTTTCACAACAGATTGCATGACATTTGCATGTGTGGCGAAAATAGAGCGACGCTCACCAGTGCGCACTCCGCACTGGTAGCGGAGCTGTAGATCCTCCGCGCCGCGATGGCTGATGGCAAGGTGTTCTGGAAAGATGATGAAATTGTCTGCGATCGGGATGGAGTCCCGCATTACACTGGAGCCCGGCCCGAACTTATGCGAGAGTACAGGCGCCGAGTGTTGTTTTGCTACAACAACCTTGAGGGCAGTGGAGACGATGATGCCAAGGAGGCCCGCAGCCTTAAGAAGAAGAAGGCGAGGTTCGGCAAGCGCCTCATTGACAACCTCCACGGCGAAGCTTGGCAGGTCTGCCAAGACCTTTTGAGCGACCCGGAGGCCCTCAAGGCGGAGGACGGCTACAAGGAGGTCCTGCGATGCCTGCAGAAGATCGAGAAGGTCGTCGTAGTGAAGAAGACGGAGGCCTTTGATGCTTTCTTCGACCGCTGCGTGAGAAAGCGGGGCCAGAGCATCGACCAGTACATTCGGGAAAGGAACGAGCGCTGGGCCGACCTGAAGGACCTGGCGGACGTGTCGATGACGGACGACCTCCTCGCCTACTTCCTGCTTCGAGGGGTGAACCTGTCCAAGGAAGAGCGACGATCGGTCCTGCTGGCAAACCAGAGTGACTACAGCACGGCCGGGATCGAGAAGGCTCTTCGCGTCAGCTTCTTTGACATCCATGAGAAGGAGCGCGCGCGCGACTGGCACCCGGGCGGGAAGCGGCCAAAGGGCTTCGGCAAGCGGCCTTCCTATGCCCATGCAGCCGAGGAGCTCTACACCGACGAGGCTGAGGGCGAGGGCACCCAGGACTATGACGAGGAAGAGGCCGAGTACTTTGCGGACGCGGCTGAGGGCGACGACGCCGATGAAGAGGGCGACGGTGCGTCCGAACAGTCCGACCTGGGCGCCTCCGGCGACAATGCGGTGTACCAAGCCTACTCCTCTTACAAGGAAAGCCGAAAGAAGCTGAAGGATCTCCAAAAGTCCCGGGGATTCACCCGGCCACGGCCCGCTTCGAACGAGGACCGCCGCCAGGCAGTGGAACGCGAGAAGCAGCGTACTCGCTGCTCTGCCTGCAATCGTCTTGGACATTGGGCTGGGGATGCTATTTGCCCCAAGGGCGGCGGAGGCAACAAAGGAGGCGGAAAAGGCGGGAAGCCGGGACGTGAGAGCGGCGGCGGCAAAGGGCGAGCTTACCTCGTCGACGACAGCCCGCTCTACTTCTCCCTGCGCGACGGTGACGAGGAGGAGGCCTTCTGCAATATGGTCGTGGGGGGCGACAGCTCGTCGGACGAGATGGCGCAGGACGCGGGCAAGACGGAGCTGGACGAGAAGCGGAAGAAAGCCTTTGCGTACACGGCCGCCCCGAGCAACCCGGACACCGAGACTGAGTGGGACTATGTGGCCCCACCTTTCGTGGGGAGCGAGGCTCGCCACTGGCTTGGGCCCGAGACTGCCCAGCAAGCCAAGAAGAAGCCGGAGAAGGAGCTGGAGGAGCAGAAGCAGATGATCGTGACCGTGCCGGCGAAGAAGGTGCGCGAGGTTAAGGTCCTCAGCATCGCCCAGATCACCCCGCTGAACCTGGAGAAGAAGACGGTGAAGGAGCTCCAGGAGATCTGCGACGACTGGGGGATACAGACCTCAGGCAGCAAGGCCGAGATTCGTGAGAGGCTTCGGCTTTGGTTCGCCGGGCACGCTACCTTGCAAAAGGGCTGCACCACGCGTTACTTGCAGCTCCGTGAGGCGAGCCCACCTGGAGGGGCAACGGCTGCGACTACATCCTCGACGGCACCTTTGGCCAGCCCCGGTCCCAGCAGCAGCGGCAACCCGAACAGTCCATGCCGCATATTTCGAAGCCACGGTGAGATGGACAGCCAAGGCTATGTGCAGGAAGCCGGCCCGGTGGATCGGTACAAGAAGGGTTCCAGACCGACGCCGGAGGAGAAGCACCCTGGGATCTCAGTCAACCCCAAGACCGGCGAACAGTTCGACCCCCGCACCGGTACCACCATTCCAAAGGGGCTTGGCGTGGGCAAGCATGCGGCAGAAGTTCGCTGTGGCGTGTGCGGCCGTGCTATGTGCCTGCGTCGCGGCTTCAACCTGTTCTTTGGCTGCAGCAGCTACCCGGACTGCGTCTACACGCGCACCCTGGACGAGGGCCTGGCGATGCACAAGGCGGCCCGAGCGGGAAGACCGTGACGGCAGCTCCGGTTGCCAGCTGGAACCATTTTCACCACGAGCACTGGAATTCGCCTATGTGGCCCAGCGCCGCAGCGGCAGCATGTCGAATTTGGAAAATGAGCCCAACGAGCCACAGAATTCGGATGAGAATTCATTTGGAACCGCCCTTCAAAACGGCGATGGACCTGCCGAGCACCACCGTTTAGGTGAGGACCAGACCGAGCGGGAAGTCAACGAGGCCAATGTTGCCCTGATCGACACTGCGTGCACCTCCTGCATACATTAAATGGCGGGAGGCCTTCTCACGAGGACTACCACGAGGCAGTGTTTGCGAAATGACCCCTCAGAGCAAGACCTTCCACTTTGCGAACGGGCAGTCGTCTGGAGGCCGGCTGCAGGTGTGGAAGATCCCGATATACTTGGGCGGGCAGCCTGGCGAGATACATTCAGCAGAGATGCCCTCCGGCACGACACCTTTGCTGCTATCCCTGGCTGCTTTGCGGGCCCTGGACGCGGTGCTTCGCATCCGGGAAGGCATCGTGGAAATGAACAGCCTCAGCCTAGAGGTGCCCATGGTCACGACCAGGACGGGGCATCTAGCAGTTCGGGTCGACAAGGACGGCGCGGCTGAGACCAATTAGCCTTTGAGCACCGACCCGGAGAAGCCAGCGCTCACGTCCGACCCCGGCGACCTCTTGGTGTACTACCAGTTCGAGGCGGAGCTCCCGCTCTTTTGCTTCCAAGGCAAGGCCGGGAAGACCGAGGATGAGAGCAGCCTGGTGCAACGAGCCAGGCCCAGCCTTCAGTTGAGAGGGGTTCGCAAGCAGGACGCGGTCGGGACGATGACCGAGCGCAGGCGGGAAGAGCTGAGGCGAGCCGAGGCGAAGCAGCTGAGGATGGACGAGTATATGTGGACGGCCCTCCGGCGCAGCTTCACCATGGCCGAGCAGTTCGCAACTGGGAATTTTCAGCAGACGGTGCTCTTTGAACCGTGGGGCCACGGCAGCGGCATCACGAAGTTTGGGTCCCAGCGGCACGCTTGGACCAACAGCCAGCCGATGACACGGCATCGATCTCTTTGGCCGGGCCGGCCAACGGCATGCGAGAAGAGTTCTGGAGGAGCACCGGCCATTCCTGTTGATCTTCTCGACGGCCAAGGCGGGCAGAGCGCGCGTCGACAACCAGAGCGGGCCAGCGAGGGCGAGCATGCTGAGGTTCGCCGGGAACTTGTGCCGCCAACAGCACAGACAAGGGCGATATTATTTACTTGACCTCCCGGGCGGCACCAACGACCTTATCTACCACGAGCTTGTTCAGAATTTGCAGGTGAAGGCCGGGGGAAAACACGTTGAGAGCGACCTCTGTGCCTATGGCGAGACCGAGCCCGAGACAGGCAAGCCGGTACCACGGAAACTCGGATGGGTCTCGAACTCAGAGGCGTTGCTCAACCACCTTGGCAAGCGCTGTGTCTGTCCCTTTGGGCGGCACGCCTCACCCGCAGCCAGGGAGACCTACCGGGAGTACCCGACGGAGCTTTGCAATGCCATTTGCCAGGGCGTCCTCCAAACCATGGTTCTCGACTACTCCCTCGCCTTTGCTGCCGGTGACCTTAGCTACTACGAGCACGCATACCCGGCCGAGGGCGAGAACAGCGAGGACGAGGAGAGTGATGGAGAAGTGCCCGAGGAGCCTGCCAATGATGACTGGAGGCTCGAAGGAGAGGACCGGATTGTTCGAGTGCACCGGTTTCCTCGCAGATTGCTGTTCATACCTTATTCGTCGACCGCCCCACCTTGCGAGTTCACACGAATACTCCCGGGACGGCGCACAAGGATGACGCTGCAAGATGGAACCCGGAGAGAGCATGAAGACGACTGGTGGGACGGGCGAAAAGTTTCAATGGACTTCCTCTGGACAGGCGAGACCGAGTTCAAGTTAGGGCCTGTGGCCCCCAGCCACGGCCGAGAGCAACCTGCAGAATCACAGCCAGAAGTCCAACACCAAGGGGGTCCTACGCCCACGGGCGCCTTCGATGAATCAGCTGCGCCTTATGATTCGGCTTTGCCCTGGGAAGAGGACGAAGCACAGCTAGAGGAACACGAGGCCGGTGCCCAGCCAGACCAAGAGCAACCGGCAGAATCACGGCCAGAAGTCCAACACCAAGGGGGTCCTGATATTTTAGATCAGCGTGTTCTACGTCGCAGAGGTCACCGCACGCGGCAGTTACAGCGTGGCTTCTGGGTCGAGACCGACGACGAGGCGGTGATCTCCCTCTTGAACGCCACTCTTGAGTATGTGCGGCAGGAGGGGGGACCTTTGTGGAACAGGATAGATGACAAGAGCGACCTGGGAAAGAGCTGGGTTGCACTGGAGTCGGCCCAGGCAGACGTCAAGTTGATCCTGTGTTCCGCCTCGGCAAGGCGTATGAAGAAGCCCCAGCCGCATTTCGGACCAGGCGAGGTGCCACTGCGAAAGTCCTACCTCTTGCTCGAGAACGAGACGGCCCTCACAACGGACTTCGAAGCCTGGAGCAGCTTAGCACCGGCGGCTCAGGTGCGACCTTTGGTGGCCAAGGACCGTCGGCTTTACGTGGCGGTGTATGGCAGCGAGCTGGGCGAGCACCAAGAGCCAGAGCAGGGCGACCAATGGCAGGCGAAGGAAGAGACCCGAGAGCGGCAATGGAACGCGCTCCCTCGAGAGCTGAAGCTGGCAATCCGCCGCATCCACGTGAACCTTGGGCATGCCAACACCAAGGCCATGCTACGTTCCTTGAGGATAGCCCGGGCCAGCGAGAGTGCGATAAAAGCGTGTAGGCTCTTTCGTTGCAAGGAGTGTCCGCGGATGCACGAGCTGAGGGAGCCGCGACCGAGCAAATTGCCGGTCATCGACGAATTTAACATTCAACTGGGGTTAGACATTATCACCGAAAAAGATTCGGCTGGCCAGAGCTGGTCGTGGTTGAATACCCTTTGCCAAGGCACGACTTTCCAAGTGTGCGCCCTGCTCGGTGAAACGGTCTACAATCCTACCGGCAAGGCTGTTATACAAGCCCTTTCGAGCCATTGGTTGAGCTGGGCGGGCTTTCCTGAACGGGGCTTTGTGACCGACCGTGCCCGCTACTTCTTGTCAGAGCTCGCCGACCTCATCAGCGACCACGGCTGCACCTTTGACTCGGCAGCCAAGGCTTCGCCCTGGCAAATAGGCCAGGTCGAGAGACATGGCGGGTTGTGGAAAGAGTCTTTTCGCAGGCTGGCGTGGAGCCAGCAGGTGAGCGGGCTGGAGGAGGTCACCATGGCGACGGCAGCCGTCACACAGGCGAAGAACAGCACCTCCAGAAAAGGAGGATTCGCCCCAGTACAATGGGTCCTGGGCAGGGACATCCGGCTGCCCGCGGCTTTGTGCGATGACGCAGAGATTGCCCGCATCGGTGCCCAGGCCCTGGCGGCGACTCCGACTACGAGCTTCCACCGCCGGAACCAGTTGAGGATGGCGGCCCGGGAAGCCTTTGCCAAGGCCAGTAACTCAGACGCACTTCGCCGAGCCGAGCTTCGGCAGGTTCGGCCGACCAGAGGCCCTTTCCCTGTGGGCTCCTACGTTTTCTACTATGAGTGATGAAGAGGTCGAAGCGTGGACCACGATTGGCACCGAGCTGGACCTGATGGACACGACCCCGGCCTCCGGGGGAACAGGGTTCATCGACCTACGCGGGGCTCCTCGACCACCAGAGCCTGAAGGTGAGGAGCCGAATGGAGACAATGCCCAAGGAGACGACGACTTACAACGAGCTCAAGAACAACTACGGCGAGCCCGTGAGGATGGCGATCCTTCCTCTACCTCTTCGGCTTTGGGAAGAGTGGCCTCAGAGAGGGACGCAAAGAAAGCGAGGCGTTCTTCTGAATTTTTCCGGAGCCGGGAACAGGCCCGGCGAGAGGCAAGAGAGGCAGGGTCATCAGCGCCAGCTCGGGAAGCAATTGCCTCAGAAATTCCCGTGCCAGCCGATGACGACGGCGACCTCGATATGCCTATGGCTTCCGACCTCTACGAGCCGAGCTATGAGCCGAGCCCGGACTTTGACCCCGAGCTTCATGATTACCACTCGTTGCCCCAGCTAAGGAACCTCCCCGCGATCCTGGAGGGCGACGGCAACGAGGCAGCCGAGCGGGAAGCAAAGCGGCAGCGGGTCACCAAGGAGCCGGGCGATGTGGCAATGTATGCCACTGAGAAGGTAGACGCAACCCTCGCCGCAGAGTCCGGAAGCTATGTTCGGCAAAAGGCCCGGGAACAATATTTCAACAAGGAGGCGGCTTTTCTGGCAAGCGGCATCGACCTCCACACCTTTCTCTTCGGCGTGTCCCGCAACTACTTCAGTGAGAGGTACATGGCGCTGGCAGCCACAAGCGGCCAGGGGGACAGCAACGTGAAGAAGAAAGGCAGGAAGGAGATAAAGTTGCCCGAGCTTTCTGCCGACCTCCAGAAGCAGTTCACCGAGCCCGGCGGTTCCGATGGAAAAGAATGGGACGCGTGGAAGTCCAAGGGTGCCTGTGAGGTGCTCGATTTGGCGGCAAGCCGGAAGATAAGGCAGCAAAAGCCAGAGCTGATTGTGCCGACGAGGTGGGTGAGAACCAACAAGAACGACGGCCTCGTCGGGAAGCCTTTCTTGGCAAAGTCGCGGTTGGTGGTGCAGGGCTTCAAGGATAAGAGTTTGGGGCAGTACCGCCGCGACGCTCCAACAGCCAGCGCGATAGCCGAGAATGTTTGCCTGTCGGTGTGCGCCCACCTGAAGTTCTTGCTGCTATCCAAGGACATTAAGAATGCCTACTTCAGCGGCAAGAGCGTGGGCAGGGAGATCTACCTGGACCAGCCGAAAGGAGGCCTGCCCGGACTTCAGGCGGGGCAGCTTCTTAAAGCAAACAAGGCTATATATGGTTTTGCAGAGGCGGCAAGACTGTTCTGGCTGGCTCTGAAGGAGCACCTGGAGAGCGATGGGTGGCAGGAGTCACGGCTCGAACCTGCCCTCTTCTACTTACGACGGCGGCAAAAGCTGGTCGGTATCCTCGTGACCCACGTGGACGATATCGAGGGCGGGGTGCACAAAGGCTACCTAGACAAGGCCTTCTATAACAGCTCTCGGGCCCTAGACTTTGCCACCAACCACTTCAAGGACTTCGTTTTCAGAGGGCACGAAATTCGCCAAGGAGGCGAGGGGCACATAGATGTAACGATGAAGAACTATGCCCTCTCCATGAAGACCGTGGCCATCTCAATGAACCGGCGGCGCGAGCTTGAAGATGAACTCACCAAGGAAGAGCTGGAGACCTACCAGAGTTCAGCAGGAGAGCTGGGATGGATAACCCGGCAGCTCAGGTGCGACTTGGCTTTTGAGAACGGAATTGCCCAACGGGCGAAAGGTGAAGCCTGTGTCGCAGACTTGGTGAAGCTGAAGCAGTACATTGGTTTGGCCCGCCGCGGGGTCGATTTCAGGATGAGGTTTTGGAGCGACATGGATTTAACCCACGCCACCATTGTGCACCTGGCGGACAGCGGCCACGCCAACGGGACCCCGGAGCACAACGATATACTACGTTACCGCAGTGTTGGTGGTTACTTCATCCTGGCCGCGAACCCCGGAGTACTTGAAGGAGGCGAGGTGCGAGCCAACATCTTGGCTTACCACAGCGGGCAGACGAAGCGAGTCTGCCGGAGCACGTTGGCAGCCGAGGCCAGCCACCTGGCGGAGGCTGTGGAGACCGGCGACTGGGTCACCGTTTTGCTGGAGGAAGCTTTGGTTGGTGATTTGGATTTGAAGAACTGGCCAAAGATTCTGGAGCGACGGGACAGGATATATGTAACCGACGCCCGGTCGGTCTTCGACTACCTGCAGAAAGACTCAACGTCGACTTCTTCGGACAAGAGGATGGCTATCGAAGGGGCTTTGCTGCGGGAGACAGTGAGGAAGCCACGAGCCCACGTCCGGTGGATAGACGGCATGCAGAACATCGCGGACGTGCTCACGAAGGCCCAGGCGGATAAGTCTATCCTCAGGCAGTTCATGAGGGACGGGCTTTTGTGCCTAACCCAGACTGAGGAGAATTTTCAGTTGAAGGAGAAGAAGAGGCTAGAACGCCAGGGCAGAAAGCACGCCAAGCAAATGGAACTTGGCAAGGAGGCCCGGCAGAAAGAGAGACGGCAAGCTGCAGCAGTGGAAGCTCGAGTTCTATTGGACACAGACGAGCTGGACTGACAACGGCAAAACAAAATACTATGGATGTGAAATCCCCTGAGGTGTACCAGTTGCCGTTGTTCAGTGTGTGCAGCCGCCTTCTCGAAAGAAGCCGGCCCAAGCTTGAGAAGGGCTGCCAAGAGGCCGCCCTACACGTGCCATGGTCTGCTCACGATCCACAGAGACATAGCAGAGCAGGTCGTAAGCACGAAAGTAGCTTCACAATAGATTGCATGACATTTGCATGTGTGGCGAAAATAGAGCGACGCTCACCAGTGCGTACTCCGCAAATATTCTTAAGATACGGCTGGGATTACACATAAAAATACTGAGTTTAAAACGAATTTATATTAAGAGGATCTGCAAATTCGAACTATATATCGATTATCTTTATATTTAGATATATATTATAAGATTCCGAATGATCTCTCGAATTATTTGAATGATTTTAATTTTTGGCATTACCTTTCTCTAATATATTCTTATATTATGAAACATATATTGATTTTGCAACTGGGATCTCGGCTCGTTACGTAAATCTAATACTTTTTCTGAGAAAGATGAAGTCTATAGGGATTTAGTGGTTAGAAATTTTATTGAGATTATCGAGGATTAGGTAGAATGATGAATGAATTTAGGATTTTATTTTGAATGAAATTATGAAGAGGTTTCTCGATTAAAATCGGAGGTTAATGGAAGATGGGCGATATTTTGTTATTGATTTGATTCGTTATATAAGGTAATATATGATTTTTTATATTCTCGTACGGTTTTTTGAAGGAGAAATTATTTTTTTTTGAATTATTCGTTTTCGGTTTTAATTTTTCTTCGAATAGACTAAATATATATTAGAAGCCATTTAATTTCTTGAAATATTATTTTAATTTTTATTCTTTTTATATATATTAATAAGGCTTGTTATAACAAAGATTTCGAGATATGGTAATTTTTATATTGGTGTATTTTAATTTAAAAAGAATTAATATAGTTTCGTAGGTCTTGGATTGGATTATTTTAATAAATTTGGAGATTTCGTTATTTTGTATAAAATTACCAAGTATTTTGTCTTGATTCGGTATGGGTATCTTTAAAATCGTTGTTATTCCGAATTGAGTGGTTTGATTTTTTATATTTCCGGATATGATAGAAATATGGATCGATAAAATTAAATCTATAGTTCGTATTCTTATAATATTTAGATATATTAATTGTAATTAAATTTTCTTTAATTTTCTATTTTTTTTTTATCTTAAGATCTAAATCTTAGAATATCTAGCCAATGATTGCTCAATGGACTAATCGAACCCCTTCTCGTGAAATCTTGGAGTGGGGCGGGGACCGAAAGAAGGGTTATTAGTGCATAAAAAATAAATATATATTATTCTCGCCTAAAGAATTCGCGCGAAGAGTCACGATAATATCTTGAATCTGCCAGTATTAAATAATCTAAATTTAATCTTAAGATTTGTATTTCCGATAGTCGCTATATATATAAATGCTCTAAGAAATAACAATGCTAACAATATAATAAACTTTCGAAATTCATTATATCGTTAGCATTATTATTTCTTAGAGCATTTATATAATTATTCTCAAATTAATTTATTATTTTATATATCTTCATTGCTTCTTATTCATAAGAATAATAAATCGTATATTTACCCAAACTCCCAATAATAATTCTCTAAATAAATTTCTAATATATCTCAATTAATATTGCTCTTATTTTGAATTTTTGTCGTTAATTATTCTTAGATCTATTTTCATAAAAGATATTTCTTTTAATATCTTCTCTAATATCTATCTAAAAATATTCCAAATAAAATAGTCTAAAGACTATTTCCCGCCTTTTATTTACCATCGAAATTCTTATATATAATCTTTATAATAAAATTAATTCCTTTTTTTAGAAAAAAATATATTCTCTAAAATCTATCTATTATATTTATATACCTCCAATTTTTTTCTTGAATTAAATAAACAAAAAAATGTTTTTTCCATCTTATGAATTCATGATTTTTATTTTTAAAAATTACGAACTTTGTGATTCATTATAATTAAGATTTAATATTGGGATTTGACTCTAACTATTCTAATTGAAATCTCAAATTAAGAATCAATTAATTTCTCATCCCATTACCCCGGAGAAAGACAAAGCAAAGGCTTGGGCCTTTTGCTAGGCCAATGCTTGCGTCCCACAAGGCCCCTACCTTAACCTCTCCTAATTGAAATTTGCCCCTTGGCGCTTTCAAATTCCTCTTCGAGCGCAATCCGGCCATTTTGCACTCCCCGGATTAGGCTAGTATACTTGGGGAGGGTTTAGAGGTGATTAATATGCCTAAAGACTACCTTGGTTATTCTAAGTCAATTGTATGGCACCGGTAATCTCAACAATTGTAGCGTAATAATCCCGGACAGGGTGACTCGAATGTCGTTTTGCCCACCAAAGAAAGTGGGTGAGCATGGCCTTGTCTTATGCAAGTTGTTCAGTCCAAAACGATTGTACTTTTAATGCTATTGAATCACACAGCATTATTTTTCCGTGCATGAGGAAACGACCGTAGCGATGCATTTGCAAACGAAATGATTGGGAATGGAATCATTCAGACACTTCGCCGTCTCGCGGCGTCTTGTCGTCGATCCAGAACACCCTTCCAGGTCGGGCATTTTGAGTCTGTTGAAGTTAGATGCTACTCTGCATGGGGGGGGGGTGCCCCGGAGAGAATCTTCAAGGTCACAAGTCACAAGTGAGAACTTGCGGGATCAGCCCTTTTTCTGTGTTCCATGTTTGTGCAAGCTAGACCTCGAATCCCCAAATTAAATCGCTCAACCTAAACCCCAAAACTCTGCGCAGGTTGGAAGCCGAAACTGGCCGAAACCAGAATTTCCAAATGCTAAAAGACTCTAGACTCTCTAGGCAGCGTCCGGGCGGCTTCAACAGCCAAACTGCCAACGCCATTAACCAGCTGACGCAGCCACAGTACCTTTGAGAGTCCACCAAGTCGAGAAGTCCCGAGTTTAGGATTAGCTTGCTTTGGGATGAGCCGTCACAGCATGTCCCTCGCTCTTTGCAGAGTTTCCTAGCAAGGCCTGGTATCACAAGGTGTATTCATCAAATGCAGGGCTTAGACCCTGCATGAAGCCAAAACCCATTCCGAAACTGCCAGACAAGCTGCCCCAGAACGCGGGCAAACCCATCGTGGCGGGTGCCGAACCTGCATGCTTCAATCGACGGCATTGTGACTTGAAAGACACATGAAACTGCAGAGGATCCGCATCAACACTTGCAAGCTCCCAGGCAGCAGAAACGAATTCGGCCAGCCTTCCGTACTCTGTGATGACCAAGGACTTGTAACCTGCGGGCGGCATCAAGACGATGAGTCTTGAGTGGACCCCACCAGGCTTTTGAAAACTCTTGGATGCATGCTTGACGTGATAAGATAACCTGGCACAACGAGCGAAGTCCAATCCTGCTACAGACATCATGGCTCAGGCACCAGCCTTGTAACCCTGAACACGCTGCAGGACAGAAGATGAACGCGCCAGCCTCCCGGAATGGTCTCCGTGTCCCAGCGCGATGTGATGGTCACGGTGATGTTCTGCACGAAATGGGCTGTGAAGTTTGGCTCTGTGGTTTCGAGTCTGATGCTGCAACGACACTTTCCGGCGTTTGACAGCCCAAAGGATCCCCAGGGGCTCCTGGCCCTTGTGCAAATCCTCGTCGATGAAACCCACTTTGTTCCAGACCTTGTCAGGAGGCGCGCCTCTGCAACACAAACATGACTTGCATCGAGACATCCGTGCAGCTGCGATCCTGCAGCAGAAGGACCTCTTCGGGCTTACTCCATTGGGATGCATGGTTTCAAGACCATGCAGCGCAAGCAGAATGAATCCACGAAGAGTGCCCTTCCCCCTCTTGCGAACCGGAGAACCCGACTGCAAGGCACTTGTGCCGAGGCCCTTTCGCAACTGTTGGCAGCGGGATGCAGCGGGGTTTTGCTTGCTGCTCTGCGGCCCGAGGAAGTGCAGATGGTCTCATCCAGTTCACGAAGTTCTCGTCTTTGACGTTCTCCTCCTGCTAGGCAGTCGGTCGTTATGGCTTTAAGTTGGCTGCGTACCAACTGGGTTGAGTTGTGCTGCTGCTTGGGTGAGTGGCATAGCCAATGCGGCTAGCTAAATGCAGTGCCACTGCTGCTTGCAGTTAGTATCGTTACACTTGTGACCATGTTTTCCTGGACTAGGACCGCACTCAAACTGGGCGGAACGATTGAGCTCAGGCACGTCGCTGATCACACCAGGAAAAGTTTGGAAGAGCCATTGGATCTTGTTGTCGTGTTGCTCTGCCTGCCGGGGTCATACTCTCAGCTTTGCAGCGTCGCATCTTCAAGAATTCGGCTTCAAACAAAAACATGTCTCGCAGTCTCGCCGTTTTTGAGGCTTGGGGGGCTAAGGCTGCTGGAAAACATGCCATATCATACGGCGTCATGCTGAGCACACAAGCCCATTTAACTCCAAAACCTCGAGTAGCTTGGGCGAGCGCAGGACATGCCCAAGGAGTCAAGAGCTTGAGACTGTCTGTCTGAATCCACGACATTGCGACACACACACACACACAGACACAGACAGAGGCCGTGAAGTTTCACGACCGTGCCCTCCTGGCCCCTCCACCCTCTGCGCCTTTTCAGGGTCCCATGGAGCATCGTTGAATCTGCCAGCATGCAGGCATCAGGAGTGACATGCTCGTTGACACTTACGGTCCTTGGACCTCGGCTTGCAAATGTCTTGTTGCATTCTCTTCAGAATTTCCAGCAACACTCCGATCCTGAGAGCTGCGGTGAACCTCGCGCAGCTGAATATGAGACTGAAGCATGAAGAATTGCCCCTCCTGACAGCCTTTCAGGCACAAGGCCCTCAACCCCAAAGTCAGCAGCACCCAGCACCTCGGATTGCTGTAGCGTCCAACGTCCGATCTCCAAGCAATGCCTTTGGGATCGATGTGGTAGTTATGGACCTTAGGCATGGTTCAAACACAACAATGAAGCATGAGCAGTGGGCTTTGCTGAGGTGGCAGCATAGAACGAGTCGTTGAAGAAGCTCATTGCCTCGCAGGCAAGAGTCAAAATCATCTAGAACCCCCAACACACAAGCACTACCGATGCAGTACAGATGTCGAGCAAGAAAGCGGTTAGCCTTTTGGTTGCCATGACTTCCACATGACTTGGTGAATAGTCTTGATGGCACCGCAAGGCCGTAAGATTCTATTGAGTCGATGCAGCCTCTCGCAAAGCTGCGACTCCAGGGTTTGGCCGTCCAGCTGCAATACAATCGGACTTGACCCTGAAGTTCATAAAGCTTCTGATATGTGCGAACCATGACTGACTCACTCAGTCGAATAAGCCCCCTTCGCTGCACTCCCCACCTGCCTTCAGCCCACATGGCACCAGCTGCAAAGGCTCCGCCCTGAGCACAAGTTGGGCAATGTTCTCCCTTCCGTTGCTTCGCGGCCTTCGTAGCTTGAACTTCGTACTGCCGAATGTGAGGTGGCACTGCAGGTGCGAACCCGTGTATAGCGCAAAGAACACAAACAACAAGCAGGTGTTTCTACCGCTGTCTACATGGTGTAGGCCAGATGCGCGAAAGACTGTAATGGATGTTGTTTCTCAAATTCTACAAAGTATGCGCAATCGAGCGATCAAGTCTCCCAACTAGGCGGCTGTACCTATGCAACTGGGGCAAGTGCAGACCGGAGTCACCAATTCGGAAGCCACATCCGAAGCTCCGAAAGCCAGCCAGTGCGACTGGTGCCCTGCTCGAACACCCCTCGACTAAAAAATATCCTTTAGCACAGTGTATGGTAGTAATAGCATATAGCATTGTAACATACTTACACACAAACACAACTGCAGACACACATGCATGCACAACATATGTGAACATGTATGCGTCCAGAATACAACCTTCATGATATTATGATAGCACAAACAGGCAGTATACGACGTGTGGGCATGTGCATCTTCAGTTTTGTTATGTTACATTAGGCTATGCTATGTTGTGTCACGTTATGATATGTCACGCCCAGCTGCTTTGATACATCTTTTTCAATGCTAGTCTATGCTTTGGTACGTACATTGTACATATTATGAATCGTACTACATTTCGAGCATTTAATGAGGTGAAGGCCCGGCCACCCTGGGCTTTTCACGAACTCGCGCGTGCGGTAGGGGCACTTGGCCTTCCAATGGCATCAGATGTTGTTTTGGCTGCCATAGGTGCTATCCTAAGGCCTGCTGGGAGTCTAACGAGTGCACTAAAGCAACAAGAAGCAACTGGGCTACGCGTCTGCCAGCTCGGAGCTTTTTCCAAAAGGAGACAAATCGAGGACTGCTAACTGAATGCCGGACAGAGGTGTCCTGCTAGCCGAACTCTTGAAGACTGTACATACTCCAACCATCTTGAAATCTCACCATTCTGCACTCTCTGCACACTGCACCGTTGAATCACTCAAGCCACAGTACCAATCTCCCTAAAAACCAGCACCTCGCGAAGATTTTGAAGTCCAGACTGCTCCTACGGCGGAGCCACCCCGATGGGAGCTCTTGTTAAGTACAACTTCTAGCAAGTCTTCTTCAACCTACCACAATCAACCGATGTTTCAACCCAGACGACCAGGCGACTGAAAGTGCATTCTGTCTTTGATTGGCAACCTTCGCGGCTGATTTCTAGAGAGTCCTTGTCTTCGTCCCACTTGCCGTAGAGCTCCTGTATCACTTCCGACTTCCTTAGCAGGAGTGCTCTCACTGAACGCAGCCGTTGCAAGGCATGATTACATGGCATGCACAAAGGATGCATGCATTGTAGCACCGGATTCTCATGTCCAGTGCTGTGCTGGCAGATTGAACACTTGCAGAGATCTGAGGCGTCAAACGTGCACATGAACAGCTGAACTCAACGGAGCCAAGCGTCATGTAGTGGTTGTAGTTCTGGTACATGGGCCCTGGTGCAGGACATGACATCGGACTGGCACGTGCAGAGCTGCCGAACTGTGCATACACTCGTAAATATGTATGCTCAGAAGACTTTACTCGCCAATGGCTCGAACCGCCTGCATGGGAGCTGCCAACCTCTCCGAGAAAGACTTCCCTCGCTAGGTAGTGTGTACAAGGGTTGGAACAACTCCTGGTCTGGACACAGGCAGTTGAACTTAGTCACAATCCTCCGCAGGATTGTCCAGTCGATGAAACCACCCCTGTAGCACAGTGTATCATCGCGTCAAGCCAATGTTAAATTACTTGAGCGAGCGCTTCGAACGTCCCGACAGCAGCCAAGAGTGAGGGCGAGAAGCTTCTGCTGACTTTGTAAGCTAAACTGTGCAGCTTATAGTGGTAATTGGCCATGCATCTTCCACGCTATTATCACCTAAACCCTGTAGCCGTCGTTGACATCAACTCTAGTGAGAACCTGCAGCCACCTCAAAGCCCTACTGTGCCAACTGCCTTCCTCCCAGCAAGTTTCATGCCCGGCCTACAGAGTAGAACAGCATCGGCTTCCGTAGCAAATAATTGCTTTGAACCGTTTTCCTGAGTCTTTCCACAGCGTGTGCAGTGTGCGCTGGGGCAGAAATCAGCATGCTGCGAGAACTTGCAAAGGCCTGGACTTTCTGATGCGGTTTACGAAGCCTGTGCAAGTAACAGAATGGATATGGGTAGCTCTTGCTGATCTGGCAGGCAAACATGGAATGTCAAAATCTGACACCTTCCAGTATGCCATTTCCTGCTCACTGATGGATTTGGGATTCGCTTACTTGTATCGGGAACTGTTGATCGCAATCCAGCTGCACCCGACGAATGCGTGCAGCCGACTGCAATCTGAGTTGACTGTGCTAGCCCTGCTTGGCAACCGCGTGAGTGGCAGTTCGTAGGTTGATGAGGTAGGTCGCCACTTGCACCCTATCTCATCTGTGTAGTCAAGTCTCGTGCAGTTCTTGATCCGTATCCCATTCTCTATGAGGTCCTTGCAGTCCTGTCGGCGACTTTGACATGTGTGCTTGGCATCGAAACTTCCCGAGGCAGTCTTGGATCACCCTTCATCGGGCACCGAAGCGGTTCTGCTAAATAGAAAGTACGGGTCATCGCTTTGGCGAGGGGGGGGTGCTATCGTTTTGTGGGACTTGAAACCACTTGTTCTTGTAAACCTATCGTCTTGCAGGAGCGGCAGCGGTAGCGGTAGCGGTAGGAGTAGTAGTAGTAGCAGAAGCAGTAGTCGTA